GTAGCGTCTAGTGTCCATTTCCGATTTGGGTACTTTCATAACGTCCCGCTGTTTTGTACCATCGCATTTATCTAGGAATATTCGAGTCCATCCTTATAATAAATCTCCACCTAAACAATACCTCAAAGGAAGAAACGGTTTCGGTGACTGTCATTTCTTAGCTATTTAACAGACCTTCTCTTATAAGAAACCTCTGTCAACCAACCAATCCGTGGGCAAGTCATTTTTGGCAATGTGAATGTTCTTCGCTAGCAATCTTCCAGCCCTCGAACAAGACAATGCCCTCGCGAGGTAACACTTCACAAGGGACCGAACAACGATTTTATTATTGGGTGACTGTGTGGGTGACTAAGTGAGCTGAGTCTGGCTAATCTATAACAAGCCGGGATACTACGGATGATGGTCATCTTATAGTTGAATCGTGAAATCTGTGCCATGATATTCGGAGGGTTTCTGTTCTGACTGGCTCACAAAACAGCTTGTCTCTCATTTTACACCTAATCAAAATAGGGTAGAGCACCTGGAAGACTGTGCACACTTGTTATGAAGTCAGGTGTGGCGTGTGTGTGAGGCGTGAGGTGTGTGTGTGTGTGGAGATATCAAGAAACAGTGGGACAAAAGTTCTAATTTAAAGCGGCAAATGTTTCGTGGCTCAAGTGGTTAGAGCATGAATCACTGACGGGGCAGGTCCGTGGTTCAAACCCGACCTCTGCCTCTCGACTTCCCCTGTCTAGGCTTGGGCAACTTGGCAGTGTCCCAGCCCTTCGGATGACATGGCAGCTAGGCACCGGAAGGGTGTTACAGCTGAACGATTTTTTCATGTTTCGGAACCATTGTGGATCAGTCTACAATTCATTCAGCTCGACTCAGGAAATCTCGCAATGTGGTTGTTAAACGGTTGTGTATAGGTTACAGTGCTCAGATAGTACGTAGGCTTCAGACTTTATCTCCATCCAAACAATACCTCGGGACACGGCTGTCTTTATAAAGGCGAAGTGCTGTATTTAACTTGTGTTAACTGATATTGATATTGCGTTGCCTTCTAGTTGGTCTTATGCATTGTGTATGGCTTCATTTTAGTCGACTGAAGAACTGAAACCACCATCCTATCTGCAGTACATCATCCTCATGGCTTGCAAGGCCTTTGTAGAGGAAAAAGTAAGAAGTTTTCCAGTGGATAGTGACATCCTTGGTTTGATCGTTCGTTGCACCTCTTTTTAGATTTCGTTCTTTTGATGTCAAAATTCTGTTACTGGGTAATGGGCCATACACTGAGTTTTGCAGTCACTTTTAAAAGACAGTTCTTTGGGAACGTAAAAAAACTGGTCTCTATATAGAGGAGTATTTTCCTTGCGCAACAACAGGACTTAGGATGTACTTTGCTTCATTTTGTGTTATTTACTGCATATGATTGGTCGGTTATTTACTCTGTCAGAACTCAATAACCGTAGTGTCGTTCCTACACGCTTACCATATGACCGTATTTTGAGATTTACTCATGAAGGCTCCAATTTTTGCACAGGACCCTTATTGAGAACACACTGGGATACCAATTCATCAGCTGTTTATGAAAATCGCATTTTAACGAACTCAGTTCCTCATAACCTTGCTAGGTTCGCCAGTTAACAACTGAGGCATTCGCGCCTCAGCCACTTCATATCCCCTAATATGCCTTCACCTACGCTAACCCATCACTCCTTGTTACGCACTTTTTGACCTTTTATCCCTCCTTATCTCTACTTAAACCACTCCAATGCAGCGGTAGTTACAGGCGTAGTCTCACAATTACCTTGGTTTATGGCAATCTTGCCCCGCTGTAGGGTTGATATTGGTCTTCGGCTATAGCCTGTACATATATGTAGATGGGACGGCTTCTTGGACGCCTCATTTCACAGATTCAACATGTGTGAATTCGTCCGACATCCTCGTTGTCGTGTTCCCCCCCCCTCCTTGTCTTAGGTCGACGCTGCAGTCGTGGAAGTCGGACTTGGCGGTCGTTACGATACACCAACTTAGGCGTAGTCTCACAATTACCTTGGTTTATGGCAATCTTGCCCCGCTGTAGGGTTGATATTGGTCTTCGGCTATAGCCTGTACATATATGTAGATGGGACGGCTTCTTGGACGCCTCATTTCACAGATTCAACATGTGTGAATTCGTCCGACATCCTCGTTGTCGTGTTCCCCCCCCCCCTCCTTGTCTTAGGTCGACGCTGCAGTCGTGGAAGTCGGACTTGGCGGTCGTTACGATCACACCAACTTTTTTTCGTGAGTTGTTGAGAAAATGTTTTCTGATACTGTTTCTCATTTCACAGTTTTGACCGAATTCGTAGCATTATTTAACTGTGTAATGAGACTTCCTGAAAAATGGAATTTTGTCACAAGGCTGGTCCCATAAGACCAAGAACCCTTCATCTAATAGTTTTTCCTACCGCAAGGAAACACCAGCATCTAAGACAATTTCCGCGGCTCACAGTCAATCCTACTAAAATCCCCCGAGGAACCCCCTCAACCAAGCAATGTACACTTCTGGGTTCCCGGAATAGCTGACTAACCTCCTCTGCTGAATTCTCAGAAGCTGATCAAAGAAGACTCGGCTCACTCCTGGTAAAGTTTCGGTTTATTGAAGTAAACAGCACTTTTCGCCGCTCTTCTCATGCTCTGTTGGATGATGAAGTGTGCCAGCTTGTGATGGCCAAGTATGTAATCAGCTCCGCTATGCTTGCTCTCGGTAGATCTTTGATTGTTCGAAGCTGCCGATTGGTTTTCACTTCAACATTTCGAGCAATAAATGTTGCTAACTGGGTGCTCAAACCCCCGGTTTGCCTTTACTGTAAAGCTCTGATGACCGCATAGAGAGCGATTCCTCGAATGCCTATCACTCTTGACCGATAATGTTGTCAGCTTGTGGGCCGATAATCTTACCTGAGGTTCTGCGCAGCCTGACGAACCCTCATCTTCCTCCTGGAGAAAACATCACAACGACAACACCTAGTTTTACCGAGCGATAAAAACAGCCGTTGTCGCAAGCACTGCTGCTATACAATCTTGAGATGTCAACGGGCTTTCCCGGTTTGCCTACGCTGGGATCTGTATGCGACCATTTTGCCCGCAGACAGTATTTCAGTACTGTTATCTGTGAAACCATATAACTGAGGCCAGAGTACTCTGCCACATTTTATTCTGAAATTTTTCTAAATTGTATTTACCATAGTTCATCTGCTCTGCCAAGGTCTACCATTGTAAGGATGCACCGGAAAAGTTTATATTTATACTACTGACTGGCCAATCCTTACATGAAAATACCTTACTACCTAACCCTTAAAAAACCCTGCAGAGTGTATCAGGTTTATGCATCGTTGGACAAAGAAGCTCGAACATTTTCGGAACATGACAACCACTGTTGACTAACTTTAAAGACTAATTTGGTTGGAATTAGTCAGAACTTGGATTTTTCGAAAGAATCTTAAAACGGTTCAATTAAAGATGAATCAGAAAAAATAGAGGAATATGCAGTCATGTGTTTACAACCAGTCGGTAGCTTGAATTCCGTTGCACCACGACTAAAGCATAGGTCAAAGGCGCAGTCGGAAAACTGCGATCGACCGACTGCACTCATTCTCGTCGAGCGAATTGACTCCAGTGCACCCTTGAGCGTGACGAACCTTAGTGGCTACATCCAACTCTCGGACTAGAAAAATCGTTCAACTGTAACATCCTTTTGGTGCCTAGCTGCCATGCCACCCAAAGGAAGCACGAGGGCTGTGATACTGCCAGGTTGCCCAAGCCTAGACAGGTAAGTCGAAAGGCAGAGGTCGAGTTCGAACTACGGACCTTCCGGTCCGTGCTCTAACCACTGAGCCATCTCGCTCCCACTCCCGTACATCATGCCTGCAGATAGTGTTTTTAGCGAAAGCGGTTGGAAGTAAGCTCTGGTGATGATTTGACCGAACAAAAAGAACTGGCATGCCGGCCCGTGAAGTGAGACCGTGTAATTGTTACTCTGTCTCACTTAAAGTAGTAGACATGTCGAACTTGCCGGAGCAAAGAATGGCGAAGCACGACATTATGAAAATGAATTTGGCACAATATTGGAGACCATATGCAATAGATTCCGCCTTAAAAGTACTTTTCACAGTTTTCCACATCTTCGTTCGTACACATACTATATATATATATATATATATATATATACTGCGCATAGCTTACTATAGTCCGCTATGGGATCAGCTTATTTTCACTGGGCTTTGCACTGTAGTAGTGACTTAAGTTGAGAATGAGAACTGGCGGTAGAGCGAAGTCTCATTAACACCCTTATACCAGCCTACAAACGCTCCTTTCAATCAAAGAAGTCAAACCTGAGTCGTAACGATTCATCTGCACAAAGCCATTTCGTACTTTTAGCGGAACCCTCATAACTGTTTCCATTTCCATCTGACACAGCTATGGGACAATACCGCTAACTAAGGGTGCTAAGTCTCCTTCCTGTTAACGAGCGCAGCAGGAAATAATCGAATGCTGCCAATGTAACTTATGTTGTCACCTCCCTAATCTAACACTAGTATAATTCCCCCAACATTTCATCCCTCTCAGTTTCCATCGTGTTAGGCCTTTTGTTTCACATTTCAGAAATCCCTGTGTCACTGTCGTAACGAGCCTTAGCCTCGAACACACTGAAGTTCTTGGGAATACGATTGAAGAGATCGCGGGGAAGAAGGCTGGGATCTTCAAGGTGAGTTAAAGCGGCGGTTAGTGGATATCGAGAGCGTGCACAGGCCTATACAGACTAAACGGGTTTACGCGTCTCGGTTTGATGTTCACGCAATTCGGGTGGTTTTTATGGAACGCAGGAGATTGAACTGCTTCATTCTTCTCTCCATTATCTAAGTTTTAGTGAATCAGTTTGGTTGCCCATTTCCCCAGAATGCACCAAATGGGGGAAAAAGTACATTCACTCTAACCCAAGCCGTAGTTTATATATATATATATATATATATA